AAAAAAGGTACACATATCCAATATTCAATAAAATATGAAACGAATTATTGAACTATATGTACAACATATAATTTCTGAATTATATTCAAATAATTTGATTTCAAAATAATACTGAATAAATTCTAAAATCCAATATCAGCAAATAATCTATTTTCACCATCTCAAATATGTTCATAAAATAATCACATAAAAATTTATTCGAACTTTTTCTATCATCGATTGATATATCATGTTCATATCAAAGCAAAATATTCAATTTTTAAAAATTTTATTTATCCTTTTTATTTTCAGTTAGTGAACACAACATATACAAAACAAGCATATGAAGAAGCAAAAAAGAAAAAAGAGAGACAAAAGATGAATACAACAAAAAAAGAAGAAAAAAAAACGAACAAAACAAAACAACATTCTGGTTTCTTTTTTTTTCTCGGTAATACTAACTACAATATATGATGATTATGTACACACTAAATGATCTTCTATTTTTTTCAAAAAAACAATCATCGGAATCATTGTTATGCATGTGTGTATATATATTATATATTATATATAAATTGTTTTTATTTGCCACCACCTTGTTTTTTATATTCAGCTACTTCACGATCATATCGTTCCTTTTCTTGTCGAGCTCTTTCTTCATAATGACGTTTTTTATCGTCAGTTATTGAACGCCATCGTTCACCAATAAGTTTAGCAATATCAGCAACTGATAATGATGGATTATCTTTTTTGATTTTTGGTCGTTCATCTTGTGAAAATAAGAAAAACGTTGATAATGGACGTTTTGGTGCATTTGGATCTTTTTGTGATTTACTTACACGAGGCATTATCTAAATGTATGTTTATTTAAATTCGCGCTTAACTATATATATATTTATAGATTGGTTTTAAGATAGGTTTTTTTTCTATCTTTAATTTTTTTTTAAATTAAATAAATTTATATTATATAAATAAATTATTCTTATCTTTAAAAATTTTTTCTTATTTCTATTTTTTTTTTAATTATACATACTTTAAAAAGTAGATGTCGTATTAATCGAGTAGACTGTATATATGCTGCTTTGCTTTGCTTTGCTTTGCTTTGCTTGCTTGCTTGTCTTTTGCACAGTGTGTATGCGCGTCAGTCAGTCAGCAATAGCTATGCGTCGTATATGTGTGTGTGTGTGTGCGTAGAGTGGTGGTGATGGTGAATATGAAAGGAGAGAGAAGAGCTTATGTGAAAGAGCAATAGCGAGTGTCTGCCTTCTCTTTCCTTTTGCGCTTAACGTTGTATATATGTATGCCGTCGTCGGCTGTGCAATGTAGTGTGTGTGAGAGCAAGCACAAACACATAGACAGACAAAGCACACACACACACGCATATAGTAGCCATATATTTTCTTTCCTTTCTGATGCATGCATGCTGGCTGCTACTTGCGCTTACTTGGTATAGAAGAAAAGAGAGAAAAAAATTCTTGTTACCCTCGTTGCCTTACGAATGGCATATATATATATATATATATATATATATGCTTACAACGACTAACGTTCATTGTCTGTAGACGAGAGTACAGGGCAAGTAACAGCCGATTCGATTTCCTTCTTATTTCTCCCGCTGCTGCCGTTATTGCACGCTACAACGATTCAAATGACAACGACAATCCACTGTAGAAGTATAAAGAAGTGGTGGAAAAGAACGACAGCAGTGGCAGCACCACTAGCTATAGTAGTCGCAATATTAATAGGCATAAGAACAAGAAGAAGAAGAAGAAGAAGAAGAAGAAGAACAAGGAGTAGGAGGAAAAAAAACGACATCGTCACCGTTACTTCTTAGACAGTAATGACACCCATAAATTGTGCATATTTCGTTTAAACATTAATAAAATGCAACAAATAAAGCCCAACAAAAAAAAAAAATTTATAAATTGAAAATTTTTTGTTTTATTATTATAAATAAGACCAATTTTTATAGAATATGATTAAAATTCTTATGTTCTAAATATGACATATTAAAACGAATAATATATATATGTGTAGAATGATCATTTTTATTGAAATCGAATTCAAAAAAACAAAACAAAACAAAACAATAACAAGTATTGTTGAGAAAATCATTGAAGAATAATGAATATATAATGTATAATACAATATCAATCGTAAAGAATAAATCAAGAACCAAAAATATTTATATCAAACTAATAGATTTAATAGAATCTTAAGAAATCTCAATTTTGTCTTGTATACTAAGAATAATCAATATTTTAAATTGATTAATATAATTTGTATAAAGCTAAACGAGAAAAAAAAAAACAAACGAATAAGCTTTTTTTCTATAATCATTTTCATATTGGTCTTTTTGTTTTTACTATATCAAATGAAACAAATATGACTGATGCTTAATATTAATAGAAAATATATAAAATCCATTAACAAGTAAATCGATGAGATAAATAGTTCATTGATTATCACAATGATTGTTCTGGAATTGAATCTAGTCAATATATATATATATTTTCTCTTTCTATGTCTAGTGTTCTGCAAGAAATTTTTATCAGTCAAATATAGTACAAAATAATTCGAAAGTATTTTGTCTATATATAGATCATGCATGAATATGATGAAGGGATGTATAAGATATTTTTTAAAAGGTGAATGAATGTATATATAAGTTTTAAATTTCAGGAAGTTGTAGAAATTTTTTTTATATTCCGATAAAGAAATCGACTACTGCTGGGAAAAAAATGAAAATTTTCGCAAGATGACAGACATGCACTTCCTTGCTAGATAATTGATACTAATGCGTATTTCAAAAACAACAAAGGTGGTATAGGAATTTTTTTAAAATAACTATTGATAGAAACAAGATAAAGAGTTGCGGTTTTTACCTTTAGAAAGAGAAGATAAATACGCATCGGATCGTGTATTAAAAATAGTTTTGACTTGGTTTTTATTTTTTTTTAAGATTTTTTAAATCGACCTAATTGAAAATCACCATACACCGTGCGAGATGAATATAGTGAATTATCAGATGTGATTTACAAAATTATGTAAACTTCACATTTTTTTTCAATTTTAGTTACTCAGAAGTCATAGGTATTCTAATCGAAATTCTCGGCCATATTTTCAAGCAACTGGTGTGAAAAACAATCAAATTTTTGCTTTTTTTTTCTTACGTTAAGAGGAACAATTTTTTCGATACCTTTTTGAAAATAAATTTTATTAAAAAAACAAAACTTCAGAAAACATTTTAGAAGAATTTCTAATATATAATTCAATGCGACTTTACTCCATCTTTCCAATAGTAAAAATCACAATGGTGTATCTTGTTTCTATCAAAAGTTATTTGAAAAATATCCACCTACCTTTGTTTTTTTGAAATTAGATTCAAATGAACATACTCTTGATAGACGATTTGAATATTCATAAATAACATATATATCTGATAAATGTTAAATTTAATTTTAAACCATAAAAAGAAAATAAAACAAACTCTATGAAGTATTATGATCAATATATGATAAAATGACTGTCTGTTTTTTGTTTAATACATTTGACATATTCATGTGTTTTTTGTGATACAATCTGAAAGTTGTTGTATGTTAAATTAATAGTTTTAACTTCATTCATTCATTCAATGTTAATAAGTATTTATTTGAATGTCTTTGATCTATGCTTTCTAATATTTTGATGTTGATTATGTATTATTAGTTAAGTTAATAATCTAAAAGAATCTGTACAAATAAAAAAAATATTATGATAATTTATTATCGAAAATAAAATTCATTATAGGTTTTATTAATTTGTATAAGATAAATTAATATATTTTCAATGAATATTTATTTTCTATAAAATTTATTGATTGATATTATCGAAAATTAAAATATTATTCTTTGAGAAAAATATTATTACACATTTAATATATATATTCAATCTTTTCTTATTAAAATTTTAATATGTGTCAAGATGCAAGGTCTCATTAAATAAAAGATGATAAATATTTTCAATCGTAATAGTATGTTACATTTTAAATTATCACTTTAGTAAAACTTTGACATTAGCTGTCAAACAGTTGATATTAACTAATTTTGACGTCGATGGATACATGATTGATTTTTTTTTTTCCCCTTTTTTTTTTTTTTTTTTTTTTTGAAATCAAGTATATTAACAAAAACCTTTAAGTAATATCATATATCTTACTCTGTTTCATTAATTACAGTAAACATCGAACGGTATTCAAGATCAAATCTTTCACATGACAAATCGAAATCATATATAAACACATTAATTTTCACTTAAAATTTCATTTTTATTTCATCCAGGTATTTGATGTCATAACTATTCTCCAATATATATATATATATAATATGTTTCAAATTCCATATACGCCAAAATGTTTTAAATGATCTTATTATTGTTATATAAAAAAAAAGAAGACGTAGACCTATGTATCTAATGATCTATCCTATGTGTTGAGTCATCTGTATGCAATCATTTGAATCAATCTATATGACGTTTAAGAAGAGTTATGTGAATGAATGTAAAATGCATGAAAAAAATGTCTCGCCATTATTGCGCATATGAAAATATGAAACGCTTGTATACTCTCGATTCAATAAATGTTTCAATTTAGGATATGGTGGTCGGTCTTGTTGATTGCTGTACGCCCTTCTATTCTTTCTTTTCGTTTTTTTTTTTTTTTTCGTTGATGATAGATCATTTTCGCATTCAACATCATGCATTCATTCATTTTGAACGATAATCATCGTCAAAAACGAAAGAAAAAGAGAAAAAAAAGTAGATGTTCAACCAGGCAGAACCAAGAAAAAGAATAAAAAAGAGAAAAAAAAAACTTCGTTCAAACGAGAGGGACTCACGAACGACAAACACGTAATACGTATCATCATTATAGATATTAAAAAAAAGAGAGAGAGAGACATTTCATCGGAACATCTTCAATTTGACGCATCAAGATTTTTCATATCAGAAAACAGTTTCTTTTTCCCCCCTACGACAATTATTTAATGGTAAGAAAGTACCATATTTAGTTACTTGACATATTTTATATAGGATGTTCCATGTTATCGTTTCCATTATCTATAAAGATAACTTTGAATAAAACAATGAGTCAATACGGCAACCTTTCAATATAAACGAGGAAAAACCAAACTCTAGAAACAAATTTTATTTTATATAGTCCTTGAGCATTACATATTTGACTAACAGCATGTATACATATATTTTTTCTTCGTACTTATTCTTCGTTATTCAATCTTTGCCTCTTAACTCAGTCGTCCGTGACATGTCTTTGCTTATTTAATACATATAAAACTATATATATATATAAGCATGTATCCATTTCCTTTTTGTCATCATTATGTACTAATAAATAAGTATACACATTATTTAACTAGTATATTATTGACTTTTTTCTTTACACAAATTGATTCAAATGGCACCTAAAGATATTGTCAATATTGATTGGGTATGTAAAGAAGATACAAAAAAAAAAAAAAGCGAGGGATTTGCTATATCATATATAAAAGCGTCAATCTCGCGTGACTTTATCTTATCCATACGAAGCTTAATCGATTGTCTAAAGACAAATATTGTATGAGAGTAAAAAGAAAAAGAAAAGAAAAGGCGTAGATGATGATGATGATGATGACGATGACCATGATGTAGTAGGAAAATGAAAAAAAAAATCAATTCAATTAGATATACATTTTCATGAACATTATTTGATTTGCAAATTAATTTTTTTTTTCTTTTAGAATTATTTCTATTATCATTTAATTAAAATGGATAATGAACATGACGATGATGAAGAAATTAATTTAACAGTAAGTTAAATTTATCATAGAAAATTTGATAATTAAAATTTTTTCTTTTTTTTGTAAGAATGGTTTGCATGCTTCATCGATCGATTCATTTGAACAATATGATATAATACCAACAACAGCAAGTGAAAGTCTTCGTTTTATTAGTGGATATCATAAATGGATGAATACAAATGATAAAACTACTGTTGATAAAATAAATGATTATCATCATGGCAATAATAATCAGATAGATTTTATGGTTACAAATGATGATAATAATTCAATTCAACAAAATACATTATCAATAAATGATATGGATATTATATTAAAAAATCATTCTGAAAGCGAGGAGGAAGAAGAAGAAGATAATGAATATAGTTTAAGTCATATGGATATATCTTTAGATCATTTTGATGTTGAACATCAAATTAATAATGATCAATTACAACAACCAATTCGTAATGAAAGTTTCTCCTCAATATTATCAAATATTTCTCAAACAGAAAAAATGAATCAAAATTTAGAAACATTAGAAATGGATATGGAAAATGGTGATTGTAATAGAAAAAGAACAAATGGATATTCACAACATCGAAATAATAATAATGATGATGAATCATATAAAAGAAATAATCATCAAATGAATGGTTCATCAAATAATAATAATAATGGAAATGGAACAAATCCAAATCGAAATAATAATAATTCAAGACGGTAAGTTTGATGTTTTTTATTAGGATATCAAAAGATGATGTTATGAGTATTATCAATAAAGACTTTAATACTAGGAATATAGCATTTTTTTTTTAGCGAAACAAAAAAAAAACGTAGAATAGTAAAGATGAATAAATCAACTATTATTATAGGGATGCATTTTTATGCGGTTTTTTTTTCTTTACTACTACATAGGATAAACTACGACGTAAGAAGATTTGATACATTGATAAGATTACTATCGTAGCGATCAGAGACCGAAATGGGGAGGATTTTTCACTCATCGCCTCACCCCTATATTAAATCTTTTTTTTTTCTCATCCTTCCCACGTTGCTCCGCCCCATCTCGAGTAAAAACTTTTCTTCTATTCGGAACATCGTTCTAAGTTGACCGTTCTGTTTCAATCTCTGGATATGTATTCAGAAAAGATACAATAGAAAAAACAATATGTGTTTTTGATGCTATGGAAATCAAAGAAATTGCCTTGGTAAAAATCTTGGTCGTAAAACCCTGTCTGTATACAATCTTTCATATTTTCGCTGAACATCAATTGATTTCTGTAAACTTGTATATTATCGAATTCTATTCTCAGTTGAAAGTATTAAGCTAGATTTTTTAACTTTCGCATTTGAACAACCAAACATTTGCAAGTGTTTCCAGTTTTTAAGAGCAAAAAATTCTCTATTAAAATAGCTAAGAATGAAACCTTTGAAATGTACTTCTAGCCTTCCGAAAAAATAACTAAAAGTATTTTATTCTTTATTAGTCAATTAGATTATACTGTACAACCAATCATACAAGTACGTCTTTGTTGAATTATACAATTCCTCATGAAAAATACAAACAGATATGATAGGATTTCAATGTATTAGAAATCATCAGAAAGTATGAGAAATGGATAGCAACTAATGAAAGTGAAAAGAAAAATATTACAACAATCAGTTTGTTTCTGCTTGATACTATCTAATACATCCGTCATAAAAATTTTAGGCTAATTATTATGTATATACATTCTCAATATGGATATTTTCATTATAAAATTTTCACACAAGGAAATTTTTTGAAAATTGTTGAGCAAAACAAAGAAAAGAAAATTTCTCAAGATTGGAGAGTGATTTTTTGAAAGGAAATACATTCATAGTAGAATTTATATCGATAGCATTATTTTCTTTAACTGAACAAATAGATACGAATTTTATTGTTTGAGAATAGAAAAAAAAATCTATAAAATACAGATGATAGAGAAAAAAAACTTCCAGATGAAAATCAGTCGTTAATAACAGATTTCGAAAAGGTTTTTTAGTTTTATATAGATATTAAAGTAAATGTTTTATCTATTGTAGTTTTAACGGCATTCATTTGTCTAAATTTAGATAATCTATGGTTGTTTTTTTTCTTTAGTCTATTATACTTATTGAAACCTTCTATAACGAAAAAAAAAATTTTTTTCAAAAAAGAATATCTAAAAACATGAGATCATGATTTTTATAATTTTGTCTCTTTTTTTTTTATAGATCAGATGATGGTAGTGAAGGAAATGATGGTGATGACGATAACGATGATGATGATGATGATAATAATAATGATTACGATGATAATGAAAGTGATGAAAATATAGCTCGTCGATTAGGTTTTTTACCAATAAATAATGAAACTATACGTATAATAAATCGTTTACGTAATTTAACAAATAAACAAACATTTGATCGACGAGATTTTGAAATACTTCAAACATTAATTGATGAATTAATTCATATTCAACATTTAGAAAATTCTTCTAAACAACAATTAAAACAAATAATTCGTTATCTTAAATTATATCGTCCATTACAAACAAAATCTCGTGCATTAATTTTTATTCAAGAACGTATACCAAGACGTGCTGTTAAATATAATGTTATATCAATAAATAATGAAAATCATAATAATGTATTTGACATATGGCGTGAACGTGAACGACGTGCACGTTTAGATTCAAAAGATAGTTTAGAAGATGATGGACAAAGTTCAACTGGACAACAATTACGTGATGTTATTGAAATAAATCATCCAACACCACCAATTATACTTTCAACTAATTCAAATACAAATTCAATTGTAACAAGTAAAGTTAAACAAATGGCAAGAAATATTGATACACGAACAACAACATCACGTTCAGAACTTAATATACGTACAGGTGATCGTTTTAGTGATCATGCTTATATACAAAGAAGTTCATCACCATCATATCCAGGTCTTGTTTCTGTCGCACTTTATGATATTAAATCAACAAATAAAAATGATGGTTAGATTAGATTTAAAAAATTTTTTCATATCGAAGTTTTTTTTTTGTTTAGGTTCATATAATGGAAATTGTATTGAAGATCGTTCACGTACAAAATCACATATTAATCAAACAAATTCATTATCACCACCATCATCATCTGAACCAAATCGTGTACGACTTTTAATTGATCGTCTTGAATCATCATCAACATCATCATCATCAAATATAAAAACAGGAAAAAAAATTCCAATTAAAAAATCTTTACATGATGAACATTCTGATGGTTCAACTAGTTTAACATCATCACCGCCAGTTAAACGTTTTGCAAGACGAGATTATAATGAAAAAAATTTAATCAATGAAAACAATCATAATAATGAAGAAAATTTTGTTTTTATTCAAGATGATACAAATGATGAAATTTTTTTTTCAACAAATAATAATAAGAATATGTCAAATGAAATTAAATTTGAAATTGATAGAGAAGATACAGCAAATGAAGATCGACGTACTATTAGTGTAACAAGCGTAAGTCATGTGTTTTTTTTTCTTTTTAGATAGTCTTGAATCTTTTAAAGAATTATTTATCTACCATAATGTACTCTATCGTTTTGTTATTTCAATAACTTTTGATAGGAACATCATGGAAACCTGCAATTTTCACTATTCAAGAGAGAAGACGTGGTGCCATCGAAATTTGATTGATTAGCAATTGGCACATCAGGTAAGTTCTTAGTGGAGATTTTCGAAAATGATATTCTGAAGCGATTTCTCTTTTGATCTATGCAAGGCCGACATTCCTAATTTGTTCCGTTCGAGAGTTATAAGATTTTTCCTGAGACCTCCGAGATCAAAAGTCAATTAGAGGAAATCGGGAGAGGGGTCAATGGAAAAGTCTTATGACTTTCGAACGAAACAAACTAGAAATGTCGGTCTTGCATAGATTGAAAGAGAAATCGCTTCAGAATAGTGTTTTCGACAATCTCCACTAAGAATTCATCTGATTGGTCAATTTCTAATCAATCAAATTTCGATGATCCCAGGTCTTCTCTCTTGAATGCTGAAAATCATAGATCTTTATGATGTTTCTATCAAAAGTTCGTTTGAAAAAGTTTATGTTCGAAAAATAAACGAGTATAGTAAACAATTATTTGTTTAATTGTTTTAGCACTAATTAATAACATGTGCTTTAAATTGACTTCAATGAGGTTTTATAATTCATCGAAAGAATCCCTATGATAAAGAATATTTTATATGATTGATAAAGACTATTGAAATTATTGTTTGAAATTTTTCTCAGTGAGTCATTTCGATAAAAAAAAATTATTTTCAACACTGACAACAATGAAAGTATTTTAACTAAGTGTGTAGACATGTTATATACTTTGAGTTTTGGTAGCTCAGACTAGCGAAATGCCATTATCATTTGACTTATGAGTTGAATTGTAGAGTTTTGGACATTACTTGACTACGATTTCTATGTCACCGATGATCTCAGATATCTTTTGAAAAAATATGCAAATTATATACTTATACAGACAATCTTTCTAACGAGGAGACATTCCCAACTGTCACATTGCTTTTGAGTCGAGTGTATGCGCATCATGCAGACCCCAATGATTTATGAATACTCTGAAAAAAGTTCATGCCACTAGCTTATTACTGGGGTGATATTGCATTTTTACTGTATGTATAAGCAAAAAGCCGTGGTCCCTCTCAGGAATACTAGGAAAACTGAGTTTCGAATTTCAACTTGAAACTTTGTGCAGGGACAGGTCTCAATGAGAATAGTTTATTGTAAAAATTTTGAGATCATTTGATTGTTCCTAGTCTGAAATAAGAGTATCGGAATCTGCTAGTGTGTATAACCTATTTTACCATAGCTGTATCTTGGGATAGGAACAACGAAAAGATCTGAAACTTTCACAATAAACTATTCTAACTGAGGCCTATCTCTATGTAAAGTTTCAAGTCGAAATTTGAAACTTAGTTTTTCTAATGTTTCTGAGGGGGACCACAGCTTTTTTTCTTAAACATACAGTAAAAATACAATATCTCGGCAGTAATAAGCTAGCGGCACGAAATTTTTTCAGAGTATTCATAGATCATTGGGGTCTACATGATGCACATATACTCGACTCAAAAGCAATGTGACAGTTGGAAATGTTCTCTCGTAAGAGAAATCTTTTTATTAAACTCAATGATAAATATATATATTTGAACTTTGATCAAACATAGAATATATACAAAACGAAAAACTATCTTCTTGTCGCTTAGAGTACACTCTCTTCAATTCCAAATAATCGACATAAATGAGCTCATATTGATTCCAATCTTGATTTATTACGCTAGTGATCGAGACAACAAAAATTTTATTTGAAAATATTATTCAAAAAAATACCAGATCTCATAACATCGTTTTGTTTGCCATAAATAGTCTTATTGTTAAGATAGTAATGGAGTACATATTCATTTCAACAAATAATAGAACTACTTTTCATATACATGATTGCTTTTTTCTTGAAATCGATCGAATATTTACTCTTTAATTATTTTTAATGCTACTTCTAGTAAATAGTTATGTGTCCTACAGTAAAACCTTTCAATTATGAACACCATAAGAACTGTTAAAAACTGTTCACAATACAGAGTTGTTCAGTTTAGAATGTTGATGTGTGGTTTACTATGAAATAAAAAGCAAAAGTTTCTAGAAGGTTTGCAACTACTTTACCCTTAGATAAAGATCTAATAATTTATTCTCTTTTTCCAAAAATTCTGCAATGTTTTTTATCTTTTTACTTTTGAATTAATATCAAGATCAATTATGTTATGATGTTCTTGATACGTACAATAGTAGATTCATGGATATAATTTACTTAGCTGTAATACTCATGAGACAATGGATAAAACAGTAGAAGGAGGTCAAAAGAACATTGCATATGTATTCATATTAGGGAGAGTATAATGATAAAAGAGATCGCCAAGAAGTGCGATTAGTAGGTGTTCACATTAGAGGAAGAGATTTCACAGTGGGCAATTTCTAGGAAGTACGTGGGCATGGCTTATTTTCTATGAAAAGCGCATTTTTTTCATAGAAATATTAATTTTCGGTACTGAACAAAAAAAATAAAAAATAAACAAATGTCACATCATTCAATGTAGTTCTCTACGCTGATTCCAAATATGTGCTTATTTTTTCCTTAAAACACTTCTGAGACAAAAAAATATGGAAAACTTCAAAAAAAACAAGGTTTTTTTTTATAGAAGACCTGTATTTCAATCCACAAGTATTTATGCTAAGTGAATAGATGTGTCGGATAGAGAAAAACATTTCTTTGAAAGTTTCCTCGAGTTTGAAAGCGTGCGCATCGACTACACTGAGCATGTCTTTTTCAAACATCTTTAATTGAGAAAGCATGCATACTTCTGCCAACCGAGAAACTGATGGAATAAAGTTTTTTATACAGAACGATTGAGGAAGAGTACTACGAATTATTCCGTAGGCACTTTCTACTTTCTTTGAAGAAAGAAACCTTGAAAGAAACTTGGCCAATTGTTTGAACCTAGGATTGTCCCAAACCGTAAAGAGTTAGAATAATTGTTTCAAACTGAATAGTCAGCCATTGACCAAAGTATATCCGAAATTGTTCAAATTGCAAAATATAACTTTTATTTTTTTATTAAATTTCTACGCGATTTATTTACGGTGCAGTTCCAGTAAAATTCACTCCGTTGAATCCAAAACTGTTCATAATTAAAAGGTGGTTATTAGTAAAGATTTTTCTATATTTATGTTCTCTTATATTCAAAATCTTATTTTTCATTTATCTATTTCCTCTCGACATACGTATTATTAAATAGTCATTTAATCTATTCAAAATAATCCTTATTCATAAGAAGAATTTAATTTAATTCCATGTATTATTTTTCTTTAATCTTAGATGGACGAATATGTTACTACTCTTCTTCCTCGTACAGAAACATCTGTTTCAATGGTTCGTGATATTCGTGCTCATGTTTATGAAGATGTTAATGCTTTATCACGAACTGATCTTGATACTATACCAATTAAAGTTGACGTTGAAACATTGTATATATTAGAAGAAAAATCTGATAAAAAAACTTTTCAACAACCAACTGTTAATATTCATATACCCGATTATGAATATAATCGTCCAACAACAACAACAACAACTGAACGACAAGATTTTTCTGTACAAACAACAATACCAATAGCAACAATAAAACCATCACATCGACCAGTTGGTACACAAGTTGAATCAATTATACAACAACATACAGTTGCAGCTCAAACAACTGATTCTTTACATCGACCATTAAAAGAACGACAACGTTTACCATCAAGAACACCAAGTCAAGAAGATGATACAAAAAAAATTACAACAACAGTTACAACACAACGATATGAAATAAAACGACGTCATTCAAGTCATCATACAAGTGACGATGATGATAATGATGATGCTGGTGCAGCTGTTATTTTTATTGATGATGAATCAAAATTATCGAATTATGAAGATAATTTTGAATTAAAACGTGAAAAACGTCATTCACCAATGGATGATCATTTACCTAAAGTACCTGAACAACGTCCATCATTTGGTCAAATAACATCACGTATACGTATTGATCAATTACGTGATATAAATCGTCATGTTGTTCGTCGTCATTTACAAGATAATGATTATAACCAAGATGAATATCATTCATCAGAAGTTTATGAAATTCATACACGTGGTGCATGTAAATGTATTGTTGTATCATATGAAGAAAAAACTCAATATGGTATTGAAACACGTTTTGAAAAACAACTTCAACGTATTGAACGTACATATACAAATGATGAATTAAAAAAAATTGAATTACATATTATTGTTACAACATCTGATAAAAATTATCAATTAGTTAAACGTGATTATAATTTAATTAAACAACATAATATTATTGAAAAAGAAAATAATTATGAAAAATCAAAACAACCATCTATATCAATACATTATTATACAAAAGATGGACAACATATGAAAACTGAACATGATAGATATCTTGAACATTTACCATTAGTTATCCGATGTGAAATTGAATATGAACTTAATCATTATGGTATGTATTTTCTATTAAATTCTTTCGATAGAATAGAAGTAAAACTTCAAGTTTATAATCTTAAAAATGCAATAGAAGATCATTCTATTCGAATGATTACAAAATAGTTATGTAAATTATTGAATAGATTAATTCATTGATTAGTTGTAATTTCTTTGATATATCGAATTTCGTTTGTTTTGTGAACCGAAAAAAAAAACTTTATACATATGGACATGCATGAGAGATTCTTGTATAGGAAATAGACATGATTAAATATCATTCTGTTATGAGGTTATAGAAAGTTTAGAAGTGAAACGATGAAAATTTTTATTAAGACGATAGAAATATTAACAAATCTTCAACTGAAAAATGAGATATTTCACAAGCCTGAACGATGATCAGTTGAAATTATTCAAGAAGTTTTTGAACTGAAAAAAACAAATGCCAGTATGAGATGATTACAATATTCGTTATTAAAATACTCATAAAATCTGAATTATCTAGTCTTATAAAAATGAGAAGCCCTCATTTCGTGCATAAAGATTGGGTTCACTATCTCAGAACCTGTTACCTACTTAAATCTTGACTATGTGCTACATGGTTTGGCGAAATTAAAGTAAATATATGGGAGTATCTTTAGATCTAAAAAAACAATAGCAATAGTTTGCATAATAGAACAATAACAGGTGAATACATTTTGACCGTATATTACTGCGGAACATGTTTTTTTTTGGAAGGAAAATATTATGTTTGAATCATAATCCCACTTCATGTGAACCGATGAAGAGCTAGGTATTGCACGCAGGCTTTCAAAATACCAGCTCAATATTATACAAAATAATTGCAATTCAGATTGGGCAACTATTCTTGTTTATAACTATACAACTCTTAACTGTAATATTAAAGTTCATCAATTATATATGAAGAATCGGTTAGAGTACTCTCTCCAATAATATACATTCCGACTAATTGTATGAAACACGATCTAAAAGGAGTGTTAAAGCATAGAGATAGAGGTTTGGACTCATTCCCTTCTCATAGATCTGATGAACACGTTAGAAATGACTTATTACAGACTGTGACAGATACCTTAGCAACATTTTCAGCACTATTTTCCAAAATGTCCGACTTTCTGCCAATTTTTTGTATCCTCGTGCTAACTTGGATAGAAACCAGATTTTGAAACATTATTTGTCCTTCTCTAGAAGAAAGTGAAGTAAAAATAAATACACAATGTCGTTTGCGAGATGAATGTGATTGGGGCAAGTCTTGAAGGAGAGATAGTCTAGTGATATAATGTATTTTTCTTTTTTTTTTTTTATTTCTCTAGGTAGTTCTCAATTAATAATATTATCTGTAACACATAATGAACGTCGTCAAATGAATAAATTTCTTAAAGAAGAATTAGTTGATGAAATTGTATCACGTTCAGGTGGTCGTTTACCTACAAATAGTCCTCAATTAGAAAAAGAAATAACTCGACAATTAGCTGAACCAATAAATCTTTTACATCTTGTTGATTATTCATCACGTGATGATTACAATCAAACAAATTCAACTGATTTACGTCGTGTATCACGTATTGATGTAACAACATCATTACGTATTGTACAACGTTATCGTACAATAATTCATCGTTTTTGTCAATTATATCGTACAAATTTACCTTTAACACAACAAATTCAACAACAACGTTATTTAATATTAGTTGCACGTGATGAATATTATTTATTAGATTTATCATCACCAACATCAACAATAACAACAAATGTATCAGATATTCGACAACGACAACATGATATATTTAAACGTGAAGTTAGTAATGTTATTCAACAACAACAAAAACAACAACAACATCAACCATTTGATTATGCTAAATATCGTCGTGATATTGAACAACAACAACGTTTTTTGGAACAACATCAACGAAAACAAAACGAACAAAAAGAAAAATATCAACAAACATTTAGAGTTCCACCACCACCTGGACATCCATCAGAAGCTGAATTTTATCTTGGTTAGTTAATAAAAAAATAACTAAAAATCTTCAATCCTTTTGTTTGTTTGTTTTTTTATTATTTATTTAAATTAGGTAGTGAACGTCGTACATTAATTGAACGTGAAATTCATTCAATGCGTGAATCAATACGTCCACATGAACATGCTCCACCACGTTATAAACATGAACCAAAACGTCGTTCATTATCAATAAGTTATTCAGGTGGACAACGTTATATACGTGCACGTATAATTCATATTAAAGATTTTTATGATGATATACAACAACGTCAACAACAACAACAACAACCAAAAACAAAAGAACAAGAATTATTTGTTCGTATTGATGATTATATTAATGAATCAGTAGCTAATTCATTACGTCGTTCATATTCAACAGATTATTTACAAGAAGATGGACCACGTTCAAGAATTTGTTATATACGTATACCAGGAGAAACAATTAAAATTGAAGAAAAAACAACTTATGAATATAAAGGAGTTATGTATGCAGATTTACCTTATTCATTAAGATATTGGAATATACTTTATATTCTCGATCGTGAAGCTCGTCAAGGTCGTCCACTTGGTTCAACACTTCCTCATACTATTGTTAATGATCCCTACCGTCAAGTAATACCACCATTAACACAACATGAAATTCGTCAGACTGCTCAACAAATTCTTTCACCACAATATAATGGAAAAACATATACAGATCAAACATTACGTTGGTTTTTATCTCGTGATAATCGTACTGAAATTGAATCAGCAAAATATTTACAAACACTTGATCAATATCGTGCACAACAACAACAACAACATAAAAAAAGTAATGTTTCTCTTCATAGTAATGAACAACAAGGTACAACAAATACATATTATACTACTGAAAAACTTATCCGTTATGAAAAAATGCCTGATCGACTTATACCAATAACAACACATGATCGAGCACAATCAATGCAAAATGTTCATCATCGTTCACCATCAACTCCTCATATACTTAAACCTCCTAATCTTCCTCAAAATTATATACCACGTTCTCAATCTCAATCACAATCACATTATCAATCTTCAATATTTTCTCATGGTTCTAATTGTCAAACACCATCACAACAGCAACAACAACGAATACAATTACATTCTATGCATTCACCATTATCACGACATCAATCAGTACATGAATTACATGCTTCTTCTCCTTTTTCTCATCCACCTTCACCTTCACCATCATTTCATAGTTTACATAGTAATCAACATCATTATATTAATCGACGACCAGTATCATATAATACTCGATTTCCATTACCACAACAACAGCAACAACAACAAAATGCTGTATTAACAGAAATAATAGACAGTCAAACAGGTCGACATTTTCTAACGACCAGTCAAGAACAATTACCTACTGAAGTACTTGGTCTTTTAAATAAATATAACTTACAAAAATTTTAATTGATTCTTTTTTTTTTGTTTTATTGTATTTATTTCAAAATAACAAAATAAATTTCATATTGATCAATTAGAGAGCAAAACAAAAAAAAAAGTACCACAACAAAACAATCTATGCTACGAAAATTACTCATTTTCAATGACATCTTCAAATGAATTTTAACTCTCTATACATTTTATAATAACCTCTTAATTAACAGAAAAACTTATTTTCATCACATTCTTTTTCCTTAGTTTTCATTTCACATTTCTTTTGTTGTCTATTGTAGTTGTTCATTTTTTTTCTTTCTTTCTTTTTTTTAAATTATTCTATGAATATTATATTAAAGAATGTTTTTTTTTCTAAAGAAACCAAATAAATATATATATTTAATCATACTCTATATGAATTATATATATTTTATATGATGAAAACAAAAGAAAAGAAAAAAAATCAGTACATTGTATCAAAGACATTATATTGTCATCCAAAAATATGCTTTCTTATTTGTATAAGTTCATTTCTATGTCAATGGTATGTTTGAGAAAAAACAAATCTTGTGAAAATGAATGAGGCTTGAATTCTAATCAGTTAAAATATTATCGAAAAATCATAGTTTTGAGACGCAACGGAAAAAAAAAATTTAATAGTAATAATAACAGATTGAAAAAAAATATCAAAATGAAAGTACCACGAATTATGAATCGTGGGCGTATAGCACCATCAGCACCAAGAGTTAGTTCTGATTCAGAACGAAATTCTTGGTCATCAGCTTCAATTGTTAGTACAATCGAAACACAATCACCACAACCACAATTACCAGAAGAAGTGACTCAAACGTAATTTTTTAAATCATGTTTTTGTTTTTGCAAAAATAAAAACAAAGAACTATTTTGTTTTTTCTTTTTTTTTCTTAGATTACAAAAACCTATTGTGGTATCATCTATTAATAAAAAAGTAATTATTGGCTTATGTATTGCTGCTGTATGCCTAATTATTATAAGTATTGTACTTGGTGCTGTTTTACCTCTTACATTGAATAAAAGTAAACACTAGAATTTTAACAAAGATTTATATAGATTTAAAAATTCATGTAATGCTTTTTAGATTCACCTACGACGAATTCAACTACGCAAACTATGAATATAACACACAATAAATGATAATGAAAATATCGAATTACATATTGGTTTTTTTTTATTACTAGTTTTTATAATCTATTAAAGGATGTAAATAAAAAACAAAGTTTTGTATTTATAATATGTATTTATATTTCAGAAGTTCTGAAACACTTTTCTACATTCATCGTTCATATTTATTTAATTAAAGTCGAAGTATTTTGTTTTTGCAACATTTGCAGATTATCTACGTTGATTTAAACAAGTTTTTGAAAATAA